CGTCCACAACGATGGGCATCACATTCTCTCCCCAGGTTTTGGGGGGAATGGGCGGACTATCAACCTGAGGAAGACAACTCGACCATGCCTTCACTCATGGATGGTTTGGACGACAAGGACAACTCCAACGACAACAACAATGATGATGAGAGCAATAACAACAACGGCGGCGCCACCAGCAGTGGAGGCAACACCATCATAGGACTGAACGACCAGGTTCTCAACCTGGGCACTCGAGGGGACTACAACGTGACCAGCGACGTGGACTGGATGCCTGCAGACGAAGAGCAAGCAGCCCTTCGCTGACGCAAGCCCATCACACAACACGCCAAGAAGCTGATCTCGTATGCCACACCGGCGCGCAAACACGCCTTCATCATCTCCGTTGACAGCTCATCAGCCGTCATCACACCAGAGTCCTTCAAGGAGGCAATGAACCTCCCACACAGTGTGGACTGGCTACACGCCACACATGAGGAGTACGAATCAATCATTTGAAACGAAACATTCAACCTCGTACCACCAGTCCCCAGCTGAAAGGCAATCAAGGTGAGGTGGATCTTCCAGCTGAAGACCTTTGCTGACGGGACCCCAGAGCGCTTCAAAGCGCGCTGGGTCGCCAAGGGTTTTTCACAAATTCCCTACATCAACTACAATGAGACCTTCCCACCTCATGCTCACAATTGCAAATGCGTGGAACCTTGAGATCCACCAGATGGACGTCAAGTCCGCGTTTCTCCAAGCCCCAATCAATGAGGAGATCTTCGTTGAGCAACCTGAAGGTTTCCGGTTGAAGAAACATCTGGACTACGTCTGTCATCTTCACAAGAGCTTGTACAGCATCAAGCAAGCCCCCTTTGAGTGGAATTGAGAGCTTGACTCCCACCTATGCACCAACAACTTTGAACCCACCCCAATTGATCCATGTATCTATGTGCTTTGGGAGCTGGGGTGACTTGCCTTCATTACTGTCTATGTGGATGATTTCATGATCATCTCTGGGCCTGAGCTACTCCTGAACATCAAGAGGATGCTGGCCAACAAGTTTCAGTGCAAGGATCTTGGTGAAGCACGATCTGTTCTTGGCTACAAGATCCTGTGTGACTGCAAACAGGGAACCCTTGACCTCTGACAATGTGGCTGAATTGATGAGTATCTGTCTGCCTTCTTCCTCATGGACTGCAACCCAGTCTGAACCCCCATGGTCCAGGGCCTCTCTCTGTCTTGACCTGAGACAACCTTGCCTGACGACCTCAAGTTGCTGTTTTGGCGACTGGTGGCTTGTCTCCTCTACCTTGGCCAAGTAGTGTGACTGGACATCCTATTTGCAGTGCACTATCTGTCCAGCTTTGTTAACGCCTACACCACTGAGCACTGGTTGGCAGCCAAGCACGTCCTCCAGTACCTCTGTGGGACTTGAAACTACGTCATTCAATACAACCAAGACAGCCACAATTCTTCAACCTCAAGCCCTCTTCTTCCAGTCTACCACGCCAACGCAGACTGGGCAGGTGACATCTCCAATCACCACTCCACATCCACCTACCTCATGATCTACTCAAAGGGCCCTGTCACCTGGTCTTGCGCAAAGCAAGGGTCAATCACCACATCAACCACCAAGGCCGAGTTGAACACCATCCACTACTGCGTTGATCAGTTCATCTACATGACAAAGATCTTCAACACCATCAGGCTTCAAGCGAAAACAACCCCAATCCTCTACAACAACAATCAATTGGCCCTGGCAATCATCCACTCCAGCCAGACCAACTTCCACAGAGTGAAGAAGCATTACAACATGAAGCTCAAACGAATGATAGAAATTGTCAAGTTGGGTGCTCTTCAAATCAAACACATGCTGAGCGACGTCATGATCACTGATATGCTTACAAAAGCACTCAGACTGACAAAACTACTCAAGCTCACTCAACACGCTGGTCTTCTACAGCTTCCAAGCCTCAATTGAGGGGCATGTCAGAATTAAGCCTTTCTTAACTATTTCCTTAGTATTCAATCATCAGTGGAATACCCACAAGGGACTGGCGCTCCTTTCCTTTCTCTTTTTTAATCTTCCCTCAATACACAACTACTCCTCCCACTGCTTGTTGCCCCCTGTTTCACTCAACACAACAGGCCCCAAAATAGTCCCAAAATAGTCCCAAAACAGTCCCCAAATGGTGCCCAACTGGTCCCAAAATGGTCCCAAAAATGGTGCCCAACAGGTCCCAAAACAGTCCCAAAACAGTCCCATCCCAATACAGTCCCACAATGGTCCCCAAAACAGTCCCAAAAACTAACTGGTCCCAAAACATGTCCCAAACATGTCCAGAGCTACTTGGTCTAAGGGGAAGCAAAAAGAAGCTCTTGTTGTCCTACCAGGATGGCCTAGAAGCTACCACCATGTACTCAATAACTTCCCATTCTCCCTGGCTGTTGATCTGCATGGCCCATGTTTGCTCAACATCCTGGATATTGTCCTGGAAAACAGAGAGACAGGCTAGGTCAGCAAACGTGTGAAAGGTGCAAGGAAGGAATAAAGCGCACCGGAGCGCCTTCAACCACAGCGCCTGAACTATCACGGATGCAGTGGTTCTCTTGGGACACAAAGTGGATGAGCAGTGTTGGCCGTCCATCATCCCTTGTATGGGCATTGAGGATCTGCACAGGAGCGGGGAATGAGATGGGGCGGTGTTAGTACAGAGCAGCACAAAGGAGAGAAAGCAGTGGGGGGGGGAGAGAGGCGCACCTCGACAGTGTCAAGATTCAGGAGCTTGGAATGGGAGCGATAGCCGTGGGCGTCCCACTCCTTGTAGGCCTCTAGCTCGTGCTCAGCCAGCCTCTTGGACATTAAGGCAGAGATGGGTGCGGGATCGCCGCGGAGCAGAGCCGAGCGGAGGGTGGGCACAAAGGAGGAGGCCATCTTCTGTTTGAACTTCTCCGGACTGAAGGTAGGATCGAGCTCGTGGATGAGCTTGATCGTCTTGGCGTGGTCGTTCTCGGAGAAGAGCTTCGAGGTGGTGCGCGTGATGCCATCGCCAAGGTCGAGCACGCGTTGGATGAGTGGGTTATCGCTTTCTACGATCTTCTCGCGCAGAGCGAGAGCCTTCTTGAAGGCGCCCGTGGCTCGCAACCGGTCGCGAGCGTCCTGAAGACGCTTCTCGATGGCGGTCTGCACTTCCTGGGTCTTGACCACGAGCTGCGACCGGGCTCCAGCGACTGCGCCCTCGCCGCCACTCCCTTCGCCGGCGGCCGCATCGGATCCGTCGAGGAGGCCGAACGGCACCTTCTCCTTGACCTTCTTGACCAGCTCCGATTCTTCGGCCGAGGTCTTGATGTTCTCTCCCACCTTCTCGATGTTCTCCCGCGCCTTGTTTAAGCTATCGGCCACCTTCTCGAAGCCCTCTTTCGTCTTCTCCAGCTTTTCGTCCATGCCCACACGCTGCGTGATGTCGCCCAGGGTCGATGTCACTGAGTCCGACACCCGTGCTGTCACACGTCCCCCGGTCGCCGCCGCCTTTTCGCCCAGGTTCTTCAGTTGCGCGAGCCCCTCCGCCGACTTGTCCTTCAGCTTTTCCACTGACTCCTTCGTCTTTTTCAGGCTTTCTGACTCCTGAAGCTTCTTGAGCTCGGCCATCGACTCGTTCAGCTCCTTGCTGTTCTCCGCCTGCTCCTTGAAGGACTTGACGAATTCGCTCCAAAAGCTCATCGTTCTACGCTCCTCCCTGGTCGGTACTGCCGCCCACGACACCTGCCACCCGCATATCAATGTCAATATCATCATTACGCTGCGAGATGCATCACACCATTGCTCTCTTCCTCGCTCGCTGTGGAAATTTGTTGCACAAATTTTTGAAACAGAATTTTGAAGCATTGACGATTTGCGCTCTTGCGTACCCTCGTGCGGCAACCTTGTTCGGACCGGGTGGTGAAGACGTGAGCGGACCCGTAAATGCCATTCGAGTAGGACGGTCGCAGAAGCAGGGCACCCCCCCTGTAGGGTCCAAGAGCATAGCAGCTTCGTGATGGGCCAAGGGCAGCTCTTGCGGCTCGCATGTTTCTTGTGTAGCGGAGAGAATGGATCTTACAAGAAACGGGCAGGAAAACAATATTTTCCCTCTTTTTCTAGGAAACCGGAAAAACCAACTGTTGTTCTTCGGTGTGAGTGTTGAGAAAGCAGACAAGTGGGAGCACATGTTTGTTGTAAAGCAGAAACAAGACAAACAAAGATTGTTGCAAGTGCAATACAAGAGTGGTTTGACCTCCCTGAGGAAGGATGTCTGCTTATTTGTTTATTAGAAGTTCCTTCCTAGATGCAAATCACAGCCTGAGTAATCAGAAAGGCACTACAACCTCAAAATCAAGCATGTTGTTGACACATTGCACCTGAACACATCTGCCACCAGTACAAGAGTATGTATGGTCTGAAACAGTCCCCCTCCAATTGGAACAAGACCTTTGACAATCATCCATGCACCTCTGGCTTTCAAACCCACCCATGTAGATCCATGATGATACACAAGGATCACCTCCCAATTTGACAACTCTGGCTGAAACTGCTATCCTTGTGACCTTTGGCATACAGCACTGCAAGCCAGTGTCAACTCTGATGGTACCCAGCCTGGTTTTTACTTTTCTCCTTAAGCTTGGGATGGATTACCTTGTGACAGTGTCACAACCACCCATGCCCAGTGGAGTGTTGCCCCTGTATGGCTGCTTTGGTGCCCAGTGAAGAAGGGTTGCTTGGACCAATGTACCAATCTCACACTTGCAAGTGCAGTGTTTGTTGGACTGAAGCTCAGTGCACTCAGCCCACCTCAGCGAAGGCAAGAAGGATGGTGCCAAAGGTAAGGTTTTCACTTCAACCCAGATGTGGAGAAGGGAGTCACAGCCCTGACCAGCCTGCTGCTAAGCACAGATGCCAGCCAAATGCTGAACGTGCTCTCAGAACAAGGTTGATTGGCAGTTCTCCCACATGCCTTGCCAACAGTACACACCCAACCCATACTGGTATTGCTTGTCAATTAATATTACCTAATTAAGCCACTACACCTTATGGTGCCTCAGCCTCTCCTTTCATCTTGCCACCTGCAACCTTGCCATTGCCTTGTTGTTGCTTGGCCAGACTCTGGATGCCTGGGCTAACAGAAAGCAGTTGCACACATGCTGAGGTGCCATTTTGTTGTTGGTTCCTTGTTGACCATGCAAGCCAGCATGGGTGGGCATGTGTTACTGCCAGTCCTACCTCCACTCTCATTGTGTCATGCCTCACATGCTGACAGATGACAATGGTGAAGCAGTTGGTGGTCCAGGCTGAAGAGCCAGGGCAGAATGAGCTTGATGAATCCAGGCTCATCTTCTTCATGAACATTGGCAATATCTGGACATCAACTTTTGTGTTTACTTCTTATGTCAATCTGACACTTGTAATTTTAATAGTTTTTGCTTTGCTTGCCTTTTATCCCATCCCTCTCTCTGACGTGCATCAGATAGCTGTTCCATATTGACACTCTTTTCTTGTATGCTCTTTATGAAGCACTTAGGTGATCCCACTCTGGTGATCCCAAGCCAGATCTGGCTTGGCCAGTCTGCATCTTCAGAGCACAGCCAACCTGGATAGTATCAACCCTTACATATGCTGATGTGGGGACTGCTGAACTGCATCAAAAAAGGTGCATATCAGACAGGACAGTAGTTGATGTTTCCAGGAGATGTTGTGGAGGTTTGTAAAGTGATTTATTGTTTGTTGTAGTGAGGAAAGAGCGGCTGTGGAGGATTCCAGAAGCACCTCTTCCAGAGCATCACTGTGAGAGAGAAAAGAAGCAGTGTGAGTGGACAAACCACGACACTTACTTTATCATGACAAGGGAACACATGCACAAAAAATACTGCAACACAGTGCCTGGAAATGAGTGGTGAGGAGTGCTCAGCTACCAACACTTTCAATGACTCTTTCAACAGTATTTCAGCCATGTTCAGTTTTTGCAATTTACTCACCTGGGTACCAGTGCCATGACCAATGACTCAATCACCAACAAGAAAATGTCACACCAAGAGAGAGGGTCAATGCTAATAAGAAGGATCTGGTTGAAAATGAGTGCACCTGCTATCACCAAAACCAATGGGAGGGTTTGGTGGATCCTCAGAACTGCTTGTCTATCCTGGAGCTGCATGTCCAAGCACTCTCTACCTCCAGTTGGACAACATGCTGCAATGACATTCAGATCTTCCTCCCTGTTGGCCATATGCACAAGGATATAGACCAAATGTTGTCTACCTCATTGTCAATATCCTTAGGATGCATCATGAACCTCATATCAGCTCCA